GGTGTTTCTCCGGCCATCATCTAACTACCTATTGTGTCACTATTGTGTTATAATATCGTTTATGATCGGCTTCTGGAACTAAATTCCTCTCCTTCTGATTTCGTGTCTTGTAACGGTATATTTAAAATTCACTGTGCCTTTTTACGCAGTTTTTCACTTTGTTTTACATCGGTGTTCAATAAAGATTGAAATATACACAATTAGCCCAACCCATTGAAGTGCTCACAAAATAAGTGGCGTGAACCAAAAAGATTGAGACTCAAAGAATAAGCCCTTGGAATCAAAAAATTTCAAAAGTTTCCCGACATTGTGAGGTGAAAAACTGCGTCAAAAGACATAGTAGGCAGAGACATAGACATAAAGGCACAAAATCAGAAGGAGAAGATCACGGTTCCAGAAGTCGATTATACACTACATTTTAATAGCACGATAGTGGCACATTGGGTGATTAGATGATGGTCGATAACGCACCCTTCAAGTAATTTCTTTCGTGATTACCTTCCTTCGCACTCGGGGCTCTTTTATACAGCTTACAATATCCGCCGTACTATCTTTATACATGACGGTGTTAAACGTCATCGAGTCCCAGCTGTAGACATCGAATTCACATCTGCTGGGCTAGACTTTGTACCGAATATGTTGCGACGACTTACAACATAAGTTTTAATTTGCTGCTGAACTTTAAAAAGTGGACTACTGAGGCGACATAAAGCATTTCTCATCGATGCGCTGGCCATACGTTGTCTTTTTTCAGTCGCTGAGCTAGTAATATTTTATAGATGTACCAAAAGTACTATTTCTTTTCACAATCCTTCGCATACACTCAGAAAATTATTTGCCGATCTGGCTTTTTGGTGTTTAATCCTTCTTTTACTGGACTATACAAAAATATTGTTGTCTTTAATAGGACTGTTAATAGTAACCAAATCTTGATATAACGTAGCCTAATTAAAAATCTAGATGTGCTTTCAAACTTGAATATTACTAAAAGAAAATTTAAACTTTAATCTTAAGTTAGTATAAACTCATAATTCTTTTAGCCACATACCTTTTAAGGATCCCGCAACGTATGCTTCAGTTTCGTATTTAACATAAAGAAGGCGAAAAAAATGAGCTAATAAAGGAAGTGAAGAGAGTTAGTGGTGGGGTGCAGAAGGCTGGTTATAGCGTGTAAGCTTTGTAAAACTGTAGAAATCTTATTATTCAAGTTTTGAAAGAACTAGAATATGTCAAAACTTCTTTTCTGCACAATGTTCTCTTATCAGTATCGGATTTTAGCATCTTTTGCAATATTTTTAGATTATAACTTTTCTCGATTTTACAAATTTGCAAGTTGCAGGTGGAAAAACTTGTTAACTTTTTTTACCTTACTAGTCGTAGTATTTGGCATATCTTATAAAATTTAGAAACCGGTAGCAAGAGCAACAATTAACTTTTTTTTTTTTATAAGGTTTTTGGGCTTATGAAATTGTGTTACCGGCGCAAATATTTCTATCTATTTTAAAATAATTATCTGCTTTAGAAGAAACAAGTTTTTAGAAAGTACCAAAGCTACAAGAGTTTTTTTCCGAAGTGATGCAGTTTAATATGGCCTTGTAAAGAAGCAGAATTTTTTATTCGGAAAACTTCATTTTCACTGTTAATAGAAATCAGCGATACAACTTATTCACAGTTGTTTGACGAATAATATTTGGACAAATGAATATAAGACATTAAGGTTGTCTGCCATAAACACCTCTCTAAAAACAAAGTTCCAATTTCTTTTTATTTCATATATTTAATTCCTAAAATTTTAAGTCGTAAACATAATAAGTGAACAAAAGGAAAAAAGCCACAAGATAGCAGAGGTTTATTGTAAAGGATTCATACGTTTGCTATTGAAGAACATTTTTTGACTTGGCTCTTCATGACAGTTGAAAATGACTTAGAAAAGCAGAGACTTGTTAAGACAAAAAAATATAGATGGTTTTCTCCAGAATATTTTTAAACTATTAACGACTTT